GATCTATACATGAATTCGGATAAAATATGCAAAAACCAACAATACTTTTTCCAAAATTTCCCCAGAATTTTCATATTATCACCAACACATGTAGCTGCCTATGTGCCTATTTCAACCACGTATTGGCAAAAAAGAGCGTCGACCCCGGCTCGAATGAGAAGATGCTGACCTTTTTGTAGCGAACGATGTCTATTTCTTCCGGCGAGTCCTTCAGCGATGTGGAGGCAATTTTACTCAACATTTCCCCCAACCCACGTCGGGTCCTGTCCTGAGCTGTGATGATCCATCACTGCTCGAGAAAACGCGATTTACTTTTTGACGTTCTGATGTTGCCTGTCGTCTGTTGAAGCTCTCCCATAAGGAGTCTCTGTGGGGTTCACTGGGAGGTACGTACAAGCCGTTTCGAGCTTCCTGAAACTACAGATGTGTTCGCTGAATTGATTATGATAAATTGACTTTCATTGTGGCATATTCTTGTTGAAGTCTCTGGTCTCTCTCTTTTCTCGCGTCTTCGTCAATTTCTACTACCGCAACTTCATCACCGTATGAAGACTCTGAGCCTGCAGGGAACCCATCCAACGTGTTTAGATGATTATCATGCGTATCACTTCCCCCACTATCAACATAGTCGGAATCATCTGATTCGTTGTCATCAGACAGCAGCTCGTCGACGGCCGCTGACATAAGGCGAGCGCAACTACTCCTACAAGCAGGGGTGATCAACTGATTCTGCTCAGTGCGTGGGCATCAGTGCGTCTTGGGAAGCAGTTTAGCTTTTTCTCTCGCTTTCTTGCGTCTTCTTGGAGTTCCTCACATGAATGTTTTCAGTGGTGACTTGTCGTAGTAGTAGTTTTGATGTATTTCCCCAACGAAGGGCTGTCTTCAGCGGAGTATAGAGCGGAGGCTCTACCACCAGCGGCTACTCATGCCGAATTCCAACGCAATATGGATATCAATCGCCTCACTAACTCGATAAGGACCTATTCCTTTATATGGCTGGTACGTTGTGGAAAGCGGCGTGAATTTGAAAGCTCGTCAGGGTGAACGAAGCTGATGATGTTGCTTAGGTCGTTGGGATGGTTGGGATCTTCGATTCAGTAGTGTCTATGATAACCGATGGTAAAGCCCAGGAGATGTACTACGTATCACCGTCATCGATGTATTAGGACGATATCAGTCTCATGTGCATGCGTGCAGACTTGTTGCTGAATAGGTATTTGCTTCGGTCCATCGTAATATGCTGTGCGAGTTTCGTGTTGTTGGCCTGGGAGATGCGAGAAAGCAAAGTTGCCACGGTTACGGCATGCATACTATATTTATCGTAGTAACAGGGGTTCGAACCGGGGTTGGCAGTAGAGCAGCAGAACGCGTTAACCATTATACAATTGGGTCGACGATCGATTAAAAATTTGAATACACCGTGTGTTGTTGGTCAGTTATGCACCCTTGCTTCTTCTGGAGTTCGTGGCTGATCTCTCCTGCTCGGGCAAGTCTGTCGAATCTTCGACCGTTTTATACAGCTGTCAGCCTTTCCTCGAGTACGATGGCTACACGTTGGTCTACAAGGTGATAACACGTTTGGGTATAATCGTTCGGGCGAATAATTCCTCCTCGGGACTGACGGTAGAGTAGTTTTCTTCGTGGAAACACAAAAACGAGCGTTTGCGCATCTGTTGAATTGTTCATAACCTCTGTGATGAAAATCGGCATCGAAGGGGCATCCATTTGATAACGGACACTCTTAGGTCCACACACTAGTATTGTGCGCCTTCGCCATGTACATGGGTTGGCTGCTCTGCAACTACTTGAACAAGATCAAAGGTATCAAGCGGCAAGAGAGGGAATCCAGCACCTTACGAGCGGCAAGAGCTAAGTACTGTGGGAATTTTGTGGCGCGTGACGCAATAGTTGGCCACAGGTGGCGAGCTACGAGCGATGCGATGATAGCAGCCGCTGCGTCCTCTAAGCGTGGCAGCCCAGTCGGAACTCCACTCAGGGGAAGAGTCGACTCTATGCAGAGTTTTTACACAGTCTCCACTGGGTAGTTAGAAATGTCATCACTGGGGATCGAACCCGATGCCTTTTGCCAGGTCTGATCTCAATGAACCTCTATTGGAGCGTATGGAGAACGGCGAGATGATGCCAAGCATCGAAGTACCATTCCCAGCGTATCACTGTGTTGCCCCTCTACTCGCTGATCTCAGATACCTATGTTGTGCAAGGACGACGATGAACTCACGCAGGATGAACTGTTATGCATCCGCGAGCTCAGAGAGAGGCTGAAGAACTTGGACCTGACCAGCAGGTGGCCTTTTTGCAGGGGAGGAATCTCCGGCGATGAGTTTTGCTAGATACGTTACGCATGATTGGCTCAAGTTGGCTTGGTCGCGTAATCTTGATATAGACAAGGCTGAGGCTCTGGTAGGAATCGTGTTTGCGAGAGTGTAATTGGTCGACTTGGGATGATCATCGTTTTACATGGTAGAGGTCTTGAGTTCGATTCTCTCTATTTTCATCTAGGCACGTCGCCATGAAGATCTTCTGAGGAAGCTACCCATCCGAGAAATACCAGAATCCGATATCCAACGCAACTTCAGTGCAGGTGAGCTCACCGAACCGCTTCTCCCGCACGTCTCCACCTGCAGGGTTCAGCGTGAAGGCTGGACGTGACCTCGACGGGAGGCCCATGGGATGGGTGAGGATGAGGTTCATGGCTCCAGCAGCAATACCGATACTATGTGGTGAGTATCTTTCCTTTCTGCGCACAGCGAAGATTTCACATCAGGTGTTAAATCTACATGGATGGCTTTGGATGCGGCTTTAGCTGATCCTGCATCGGTGCGCCTAGGGGTGTGTCTAGTATATGATTTTGCCGGTATTGGGATGAAGAATATTACACTCAACGTGGGAGATATCAAGAAAGGAGCT